GAAGTTGTTTGACCTTGTTTTCGCAACTCGGTCAAATTGGTAGGAAGACTTAGAGGAACGCACCTAGTCCGAATTCCATTGTATGCATCATCATTTCCAGAGTAGGACCGTAAACGTGGTACACTCCCATGGGAATGTACCACAAGGTGTGTTCCTCTAAGTCTTCCAACCAATATGAGTGAGTTGCGAAAACAAGGTCAAACAACTTCTTATCATTAAAGGTGAAGTAAGTGCTACTCATGAATAGATTAATTAGCCTTATGAGTGAGCCCTTACACAGATTTGCTCCCTTAATAATATCTACATGTCCATCCGGCCTGAGTACTAGCGCCTCAGCAGCCTTCAGGATTGGGATGTTAGTATGCAATAATACCGCAACGAAACTCACAAAAAGGTTTAAATATATATATATATATATATATATAGAGAGAGAGAGAGAGAGAGAGAATAAGCGGTGTTGGTCATCAAACCTTTATCTGTTCTAATTACTTTGAACCATCACTTCTAGTTTCGAACATATACGAAAACAGTAAAGCCCATAAGCACACACATGCTTCAAAGTTGGCGTATATACCCCATATCTGGGCTCTTCGAAGAGGTATACAATGATTTAATACACACACACACACACACATATACATATATATTTATATTTATATTTATACATACATACATACATACATACATACATACATACATACATACATACATACATACATACATACATACATACATATATATATATATATATATATTAAATTACTGTTTAATGTAGGATGACACCTTGCTCTAATTATGTTAGTTATACGACGGACGAAAGGTTAGCACGTTTTCACCGGAATCGAAGGAGATTGCCTCTGCAACAGCCTCAACAAGAAAGTGCCAGTAGAGCCAATCGACAGCTGGTCAAGAGGAATCCACCGTTGTCTTATGCTCGAGTCGACTTTCCCTTGAAATTAACGTAAGCTCAACAATGTTGTGGGGGCAGCTTGTAGGCCGGGGCTCAAGCAGCCCGATTGACTCACGAACAGAGTAAGCATGCAAGATACGCACAACTACACACCCGAATACAAGTTAACACGGCAGGATCATACAACAGTTCAATAAGGATGCTCGGTCACAATTGCACCTATTTCATTCTTCCGCGAGTAGGTCGGTAGGAAGATCGAGTGGCTGACCACACCTTCGCAGGCCCCAAAAGACACCAACCCTAAGACATTGTAAACCGAAAGTATCGTAGTTGGGCCTCATTCTTTGCCTCTTGCTCATCATTTTTGCCGAAGAATGGTTTCTCGCTTTGGCAGATACAACAAAAGCACATCATGTATGGTGCGTCCACAGATCAACAGTCACAGCTCCGAACAATCGTCGTTAGTATTTCCATAAAGCCAATCAACAAATCACTTTTTACCTCCCTTTCATACAAGCAACGAGAAAGTATCAAAAAAACTCTCCGAAACCCGACTACTCCTCAAGTATCCAGGCATTTCTTGAACAGGAACTTGGTCACCCGAAGTCGCTTAAGCTGAATTACAGATGGGCGATTGAGTTTTTCCTCAAAATTAGATAAGTAGACCACAGAATACCATTCATTTTTACCAAACCTTGTCTCTCAAAATGTATTCTCATCCAGGCTTAGGTATCATCAGTCACTCCAACTGGATTCGAGCTCGGATCGTGACAATCGTGGCATCGTGAGGCATATTCATCCTACCGTTGAATAAACTAAACTAAGAGTCCTTAATGTTGGTTTGACCTCGTTTTCACGACTTGATCGAAGCAATATGGAGATCTTGTGGAACGTACATAGTCTTGCGTCCTATGTCAGAATATTCATGATTATTTACAACATCTGACTGTTGATCTGGTATATTAAAAGACGTCTTTCCGACATCGTAGTCGACATTAACAGCAAAAGGAGCCATTCTTGGCAGAATGACTTATCAGTGACGAGCAAAGGCAATCACGGTGACCAATTTTCTGTTCAACTGTTTAGCATCACTCCTCACCTCTAGCCTTTGTTCCCTCTTCTAGTGCTGCATATCTTTTTTTCTCCACCCCATTTCATATCGCCTATTTACCTATTCACACCATTCTGTCCTCTCGTTTCCTCCAATTCCGTCGCTTTAAGTAGTTTTAGTGAAGTGTAATTACCTTCACCACAGGTTTCAGATGACATATGCAGGGCTTCTGGGTCATGGCTTCTGACTTTCATTCATCCCCCCTTCCACCCACTTGTAAATTGGTTTCTGATACGTATGAAAATCCCCGTCTGGCTGTATGAAATCCGCTTGTTCATGAGCCGTTTGCATGATATTCGATGATTTAGAGTCCGTGACGCCCATGCCTAGGCATCTTTATATCCATTGCTTTCAGATACATCACTCAGCCATCCTCTTTCTCAGCCCCACCAACTGGATCTCATTCGTTGGGGTCCCATGTGCGGAAAAATTCGGAAGCGCCGGTGTGAAAATGTACAGCTTACCTCTTCTAGCCTTGAATCACGCGAAGCACACTCCACACATGCACAACTGACTATGACCCTAGGGATTAGGTGGGAATGTCAGCTTGAGAGACAAGAGGAGTGTCCTTTACGTGATTTAGAGATTGAGAAGGAAAGTGATTAGTTTTCACACCAGCGGTTCAGGTGGGAGGTGATTAAATAAAAGTCAGAAAACATGATCCAGAAGAATGGCAAACGACATCTGAAACCGAAGGTGATCATGCTGCACTAAATCTACTTGAAGCGACACCCTCCTAGACGATATTGAAAGGAACGAGAGCACAGAATTGTATGAATAGGTAGATAAGCAATATGAAATATGGTCTTAAGAGAAAGAAATGCAACACTAGAAGGTAGAACAAAAAAATAGGGACGAGGAGTGGTGTCACAACTATTGAACAGAAAGTTGATCAAGGGGATTGCTTTCACTTGTCACTTGTATAAGTTGTAACTCTGTACTAACGATGACACCTTCCACTGAAGATGCTGACTACGATGCCGGTGAAACGTTTGGGAATGGACCAAATCAACGGTTCGATGATGAAAATCATGAATACTATAACAGAGGACGCAGGACGTGGTACGTTCCACAAGGTCTCCCTGCGACCAAGTTGTGAAAACGAAGTCAAACCAACACTAGGCAGATAAAGGAGACTACAACTAAAAAAATGGTAGCAACCTCTTGGTGTTCATATCTAACAATCCTTAAATCACATCTACTTCTTAACTAACAATTGCTGATATCATGTAGAACATGTGATAGAGAAATTATTTCGTAATTTGCCCGTTCACCAGATATAATTACTAATCGGTCACTGAGTCATCATTACTGAGAGAAGTGAAGTCTCCCCAGCCCGACAATAGAAGGACGAAACAAGTGAAAAATAAAAATAAAAATAAAAAACGTAAATCCGACGCACCGAAGAGAAGACAGCCGTGTAGAGGTAGGCGAGCGCAGGCAGCCAGAGACGCCGATGGACGGCCAACAGGAGACCCGGCAAGAAGGCCAGGTTGCTGGCCACCAGCAGATGGGCATCTACAAGTACTGAGCTCTCGAAGGAGGCCGAGACGGCGGTCAGTTTGGCTGTCTGCTCCAGCAGTACTGCCGCCAAGCGCTCCTCGTCGTCTTCGTCGTCTGCCGCCACATTTGTGCCGGATCGCCGATTCACAGTCGTCTCATTTGTCCGTCCATCCTCGCCGGTACCACGATCGAGGCTCGGACGAGGCCCTCGTAGACTGGCCGTTTGACGACAATGCCAACGCGCCAAGGCAGCAAGAGCTCCACGACCGAGTGCCGCCTCGCAAAAAAACGCCTCCGGAAGCTGGCCACAACCGAGGCCAGCTCGACCCCGCGGACAGACACAGGTCGAGGCGAAGAGGAAGCGTAGAGGAAACTCAAGACACAGGCCCTCCCCGTGCCATGGCGACGAGTCGACGAACTGAGGGCTCGCTGAAGACGCAAAACAGACGTAGTCGACATTAGCAACTAAAGCTATTGGTAAAGACGATGGGTCCAAAGGGGTAATATAAAACACTAAACATATAAAAATGTCAAGGTTATCGCTGTTGAAACTCGAAGTTCTAATTATGATAACACCTTCCATGCATCCGCCTTCAAGCAAAAGGGCTCATCAAATCGACCAGACATGTGCCGGACATTGTACACCGCTAGTTTCATGCCCAAACGTGCACAAGAATGCGAACACGCGCACAAAAGCATATACAGACAAGAACTTCGAGAATAGCATGTGATGTGAACTAACCAAATTTCTCGATACCTCGTTAAAATGTATAGGTTTTGCTTATGTACAAGACGTGAAGAGATGAGTCAATGCGTTTGTTTAACTCGTTAGCTAGTAGTAATTGAAAAAAATAAAGTGGGGAAAAGATGAGAGCGCAGCATGTTTTCGCCGAAATCACATCAAAATGCCTCGAGTATAGCGCTACCCAGAAGGCTCCAGTATATCCAAACTACAAATAACCAAGAGGAGTTCGCAGTCGTCCTCTGGTTGGAACCTCTTCAGCACATTTTAACTCGAAGTGGAGGCTGGAAATTGAAGCCAAACACGTAGTTTTTACGAAATAAAGCAAGAAATAAGCCTGGTGCGTATGCACTCACACTTGAAGAAGATATGATTACATTAAATGGCGATCTCCTTAAAATAACAAATGTCCACACTCATGAATTGCCATACTATCTACAAATATCGAAAGGAGCAATTTTCCCTTAACTTTTTTGAGTAAAAGTTGAGCTTTTGTAGTGCATATAAACTAGCAGCAAGTCAGATAACCAAAATAAAGAATCCTGAAGCATGATAGTTGAGCCAGCAGGATTATATTTAAGAAAAGTCCTTTACTTCATCTTGGGATCAACTCGAAACAGGCTTTCTAACCAAAAATAAGGATCATTTTTGACTCTGGAAAAAGCCCATATCACCAGACCGCAGAATTAATAAAACCCAAGTTTTGAGTATCGAGGAAAGCTGAGTTTCGAAGAGTTCCTTAATAGGTTGATTTTTGCGAAGCATTCATTTCATCCGAAAAAGTGAGTGAAGGAAATTTTTAAATTAGTTTAACGATAAACGGAAGGATAATTGCCTTTAAGTTGTAATGCCGGATTGTGCGAAAAAGAATTCAGTTCATCATTCTGCAAAGAGTCTGGGATTCATATGTAACTATATATATATATATATATATGCCTACGTTTCTGGTTATGCCTGTGTGTACACGACTTTGAGTCTGATCGTTTGTGCGTTGTTCCTTCGACTAGCCTTTCCTTCCAGTTGTTCAGAGAGCAGATATAACTGTTGGGATTACTTCCATTTCGAGTAGAAGTGTTGGGTGGAGAGATTCGAAGGTCGGTTCCACCAGA